AATCAGAACTACATCTATAGGAATGAAGAAGAAGAAGCTGTTTCAGGCTGAATATTTAAACTGAAGTTAGACCATAAAGCTTTTCTCATGTATGAAACTGCACCTGTAGACTTTAAAGCTCTCTCTCTCTCTCTCTCTCTCTCTGTCAAATATGTGCGATGTCATTAAAGCTTTTAAACTTTACTCACCAGCTGTTTGTCCTTGCATCACTTTAACCTTTCCCCTGACCCCTGACCCCCGGCCCCCAGGAGCACCAAGGTATCTCACTGGGAATTCATTTGTTAGTTTCATGAGCCTCAGTCCAAAGACCAGAAGGTGAAGTAACAAGAACTATGGAGAACCAGGAGGGACGATAAACCCTACAAGTATTTATGAAGTAATAATTATTAGTAATAAATCAATTAATGTGACCTGAACACATAAGTGACAGAAAATAGACGGATCGATTAACCAATTAAACCAATTAAAAAATAGTCCCTGTTAATTGAGCTCCTGGCTCCAGAGGCAAGTGACTTTTTTTAATAAGAAGAAAGAGAAACATAAAATAGAAAAATTACCCCCCAAAAAAATACTAACACAGATGGAAAAATCATCCTGGCAAAATAATAAATAAAAAATGTCACTTGTCTTTCAGGGCCTCCGTACCCAGCTGAGCTCGGCAGCGATGGAAAAATAAACTGATCATTTATAAGAAGTCCAGTAAGTGATTCTCTAACGAACTGTTTCATCTCTACTCATGAACACAGGTTATAAAAGGTGATTTTCAGAAAATCTGGTGAAAATGAAGTTTTTTTTTATTTTAGATTTGAATGATCCACATCTCTGATTAGTTCACTGATTCAAACCGGTTCAATAACAGCTGTGTCCCAGATTGAAGGTTCCTCCAAAACAAACTCCAGACCTTTTCTTAAAACCTCAAACCTGAATATTCATTTATTCATTTATTAGTTTAAATTGGTAAATTGTGATTCCTGTGAAACGTGTTGGTCTAAATATTTAAAATGTTCTATTTTTATTTAATTCTGGTGAAGTTTTAAATATTTATTCTGAAAATATCTGAAAACCCAACAAGTGCTAAACCCTCAGAAACGAGTTTCCATAGATTCTGCAGGTGAAGTCAAAGCACCTTCACAGGTCAATTTAATGCTGAAATGAAAAGTGAGTCAGGTGACGAGCTGCTGCATTAACGCAACACTAATGCAGTAAATGGTTTAAGGGTTTTGAATCTGAGTGTTTCCTCTGGTCGTCAGAGAGGATCTCTGCAGCCTCAGGTGGACCTGGTCCTGGTTCAGGTCTGATCTGAAGTCAGTGGGTCTGTCTCTTCATCTGCAGCAGATGGGACTCCAGGTGGGGAGTCCCCTTGCTAGCTGTTAGCTGCTGCGGCTCATGGCTAAAGGCTAAAGCTAAAGGTTTCTGGTTCTTTGAAGTCCTGGACCAGAACCAGGACCTGGACCAGAGTAAGTCCAGCTCACAACTGGAGCAAAACAGGAAGAAATTAAAAAATAAAGGTCTGTCTGTAATATAAACTGTGTTTCAAAATAAAGGCCTATTTTTCTGCAGGTGAGGTAAATTAGGCTCCACCCACTGAATTTCAAATGCTAACAGGATCCTAGCTTAAACCATCAGGAGAATTACCTGTGTTGATAACAAATAAATATTTCTATTGAAGTTGTGAATTATTGTAGCTAGCTAAACTGGCTAATGCTATGGTAGCTAACGCTGTAGAGAACCATTTTAACACCAGGATGTATCTTGACCCTCCTGACTCTCTGTACATGTGTGAAAAAATCACAATTTTCTTATTTAAAAAAACAAAAACATGTTGACATGTCTTTTTTACCTGAACATGTTTCTCAGTTCTATCTCACCTGTTCCCGCCAGCAGCAGCCACATGACTACACCCCCCATCATGCACCGCTCCTGAGCTGAGTCTGTGATTCTGCGCTAAAACCGCACCTGACCTGACGCTATGACAGAGGCGGAAAGCTGCCAGAGGCTAGCGCGAGACCGGAAATGAGGACATTGGCCTTCAAAATAAAACAATTCGTCATACAAACATAACTCGGAATAATTGATGGAAATCAAAGGTTATCCGAGGTTTAGTGTTTTTGATTGTTGTCTTGATGCAAGACTCCTATAATGATATTAAAAAATCTGTTTAAAACACCTAAAAATGTTTGTGTCCGATCTGTAGTTTGAGTTCAGAACTAACAATTCTCAAACAATAATTTTCAATGTAAGAAAGAGAATAAGAAACATCTGTCATCCTAATGATAGAGAAATAACTTCAATGTAAAATACAAGGAAACAAAAGGAACAAAACAAATGAGGGTTTTTAAAGGATGAATCTAGAAGAATAAGGTGCACAGTGAATATAGTTTTTGTTTTCTTGTTTTTCTGTTTTCATGTCACTCAAGAGAGCTGTACCGCATTTTATTTTGAAAGTCATAACAGGATGTGTCGGTGTCCATTCTCTTTGCGTTGACGCTGTCGGTGATCCCTGGGATTCCCGTTAATATTCCTACTTTCCTTCATCATTTTCTGTGTTTTTCCAGCTGTGTGTAAGCCGGGGAGCTGCTCCGGGTCTCTGCCGGGCTGTCGCGCGTCTCCGCCGGCCTGCAGGAGCAGGTGCAGTCGGTGTCGGGCGGTGCGGATGCGGGTTTTCTCCAGGGTTTGGATGCGGACTGACGGTGATAAATCGGCGCCGTAATCTCCGGATTTCAGCTGGAAACAGCGAACAGACGGCGGCGGGAATCAGCGGAGGGATTTTCTGAGGCTTCGTTTGAAGAATTACCTCAAATTTCCACCGACGGTCGGTTATTGACCAACTGACGGAACCAGCGGAACCTGGGTCAGAACCACACAGATTACAGACTCCTCACGCTCCCGACTCAAAGCTCGTTTTAATGTTTGTACAGGAGCATGTGCTCTCTGCACATTATATATTCATATTATATATTAATATGACACGGGAGCAGCTTCCTGTAGCGTCATGGTTCCTGTAACCTTCACAGGGAGAGCTGAGGATGTTCTCTGTCCGTCCAGAAAACGTTCACAGGAAGATTCTACAGAACGTTTTCTTTAACTAGAAATGTCCCTGCGGGCTCCTGTACCTCCTGTCCGTCACATTTAAAATAACTATTAGATATAAAACAGAAACAGTGTTAGAAAAGGTTCAAATCACTTTTATTTGATTAATATCACAATGTGAAGTTGTTTTAGAAAAATTACATGTTTACATTTTTTAATTGAAAGTGTAAAAGTGTAATTTGTCACCAAATATCAACAGTCACTGTTTCACTAAAGAATTTCGCATTACAACAAACAGTTTTATGTGTTTACCTAGATTCACATTCATTTAACTGTAGGTGTATTAATATATGGAAGGTTAATAGCGACTTTACTGTAATATGTTTTTAGTGGAACGTGAAACAGAAGCAAACTTGATATATATCCTATTTGTATCATAATGTGTGGTAGTTTAAAATATCCTATAAAATCTATTTATTTAATTATATATAATTATATTATTATATAAATACATTTTTGGATTTAGGAAATTATTTTATTGACATTACAAATAAATATTTTAAGTTTTGTATTAAGTAAAAATATTCTACAGTGTAGTACTTGTGTACGAGCTCTCACATGATCTGTAAGATGGTAGTTTTAAAAAAATCTCATTGATTAATGATTATCTGATCAACAGCAGCCAGTCGTTACAGGCAGTGTTTGTGGGTGTTAAGCTTTAGTTTATTTAGAGCAACATTATATTTCGAAGGTCAGCAGCTAAAATATTTGAACGTTTCAAACGTAAACTGACAAAATTAGGTTTATTGTAGTAGAAGTAATTTTCCTGTCATTTCAAACACTTTAAAGGTGACGCCTGAAGATTTTAAGGGACAGTGCACAGTTTGATTCATCTGTATGAGATTAGAGCCACAGAAACAGAACAGGACGTGACGTTCTGATGGTAGCTAAACGTTTGTAGCACAAACAACAGACGTATATATATATATATATATATATATATATGTATAACAGTATATTGATCTAACTCAGCCTTAACATTTACAGTTTATCATTTAACTGAAAAAAACAGTGACTGAAACCACAAGTTTAAACTCTTTTAATTAGTTTGTTTTGTAAATGAATTTTGTAATTATGGGAAGTGTAGTTGGACGTTGCTCTGGTAAAGAGACTACAGTGATGGACTACAGGACCCATCAGTGTTAGGACCAGCTGCAGGTTTTGGATGGACACGGATCCGCCGGTCTCCGTGTTCGTACAGGAGAGGGTTTTTGATGTGACATCACTGTGGGACCGGACAGACCCGCTCAGACCGGACCAGACCGGATCAGACATTAGTTTTTGTTTGTTGATGGGTATTTGATGTGGCGTTGGCGGCTCTGAGGGAACATGTCGGATAAGACGGCGCCTCGCTGCCAGCTGAGGCTGGAGTGGATCCACGGCTACAGAGGTCACCAGTGTCGAAACAACCTGTACTACACCGCAGGGAAGGAGGTGGTGTACTTTGTGGCCGGGGTGGGCGTGGTCTACAACACCCGAGAACACACCCAGAAGTTCTACCTGGGACACAATGATGACATCATCAGGTGAGGTTCCTCTGATCAACCTGCTGCTTAATATCGGCTCAGTGTTCTTCACTGACACAAAATCAATAACTGAACTTCAGCTTTAGTTGTAATGAAACACCATGTCCAGGTGCATTGTGGGAAATGTAGGATTCAGTGGAAGAGACTGGTCTCAGAGTTTCTCATTGATAGTCACTGGTTGATCAGTCGGTTTCCATGGAAACAACAGATGAAGCAGGAAACGTGTCTGATCTAAAATCTATTAGACATAAAACTCTTGCTCCTCCACAGGAAGTGGGGGTCAGTGTTTGAGTCCCACGGCCTGATGGGAGCTGACGGCCGCAGGAAAAACTGATGATGAAGCTGCTGAATCTTTCCCATCATCCTCTGCTCTGTCACAACAAGTCTCTGTTCTGTTGTATCTGGGGGGGGGGTCCTGAACATGTTGATGTTAGACTCCTCCTCCTCAGTGTTGTGTGACGGAGGCCCCCACTGTCTGATTGAGAATCTACCCAGCATGCATCTGTCTCCCTCCACAGAGACACAAATGCTGAGGTGTGTGTTCATGAGAGTATAAAGTGTCTATTGGTCCATCACAGCCCCCCCCCCCCTCCCCTCCCCACCCGTCTGTTGGTTTTCTGTAGGAAAAAACATTTAAACGCTGAGTCAGCCAATCACAGCTCAGCATGTCGCTGTCATCCTCTGTGATGTCATGCTGATGACACGCTGCCTTCAAACAGAAGTGATGAGGTCAAATGTTTGACACAGGAAGTTGTTGTTTCCTCTGTCCTCACAAGGACACAAGGAAAAGACGAAGTGACGTGAACATGGTGGGATGTGTCAGGTGATGATGTTTGTAATGTGTTCTGTAGGGGGCGCTGTCCATCAGGAGTGACCTCTGTTGCTCTTGTTTTAAATGTGCCCCCCCCCCAGTCTGGCGATCCATCCAGATAAGATCCAGGTGGCGACAGGTCAGGTGGGGAAGGACCCGTACATCTGTATCTGGGACACCTACGCCATGCAGACCGTGTCCATCCTGAGGGACGTCCACACACACGGAGTGGCCTGTCTCGCCTTCGACTCTGACGGACAGGTGTGACCATGCCCCCTCATGATGATGTCACAGGTTTTTACCTGTGTATATATGTCTATAGACACATATATAACTGGTTCATTTTATAACAGCTGACCTCAAACAGTGTGAGGAGGAACAACAGCAGTAGAAGATAATTGAACTCTGAAAGGTTCAAAGGTGAAACATCACATTATTTTGTTCTGTCATCACGTGACTCACAAACAGGAAGTGTTCCCGATGAACTGGTCAGATAAACAGAAGCAGGTTGTTGAGACTGAGAGCCTTACTGAAGGTGTTTCAGCTGGTTCCTAATGAAGTCGATTCATGGACGTGTAGTACGAACCACGTCACTGTCAATCTGTTTTAGTTGGTTTTAATTCAATCAATACAGATTCACAAAATAATATTGACACAATTTTGATATTAATATAATAATATTCAAGTAATGTTTCAGAGAGGGACTGATGTCCTGAATATCAGTGTCATGTTAATTAACAGCGATAAGCAACAACATATTATGATCTGTTTGTTTATTTCATCGTTTATTTGGCAGCGTCACATGACCTCACCTGGAGGTGAGCTGAGGGATCAGGCTTCCTTCTTCATCTGAGGACCACACATCGTTTAATTCAAAGGTTATTTCTGGAAATGAAGTTAATTACAATCTCAGATCGATAACGACGGTGAATGTTGCTCTAATTAACAGTTAATAGAACACCTGATACATGGAGTTAAAGGTGCGGCCTTATGGAAGGACTCTTGTCCAATCAGAGGACTCGGTCAGTAACTCGTTACAGTCACTTCGTTATGACTGAGTCAGTTTAACATCCTCCAATCCTGCGCTTCGAATGTCGGTGGTGGGCGGAGCTGCATGTGGGTTTACTTATGGATCAGTGTTTGAACTTCCTGGTCTTACGGTTTGTTTGTTTGTTTGTTTGTTTGTTTGTTTGTTGTTGTAGCGGCTGGCATCGGTCGGTCTGGACGCCAAGAACACGGTGTGTGTTTGGGACTGGAGGAGAGGACGAGTCCTCGCCACGGCAACCGGACACTCAGACAGAGTACGAGTCTTCATCCAGAGACTGAAGATCATACACCCCAGACCAGTATCGATCAGTTTCAGTATCGATCAGTTTCAGTATCAATCAGTTTCAGTATCGATCAGTTTCAGTATCGATCAGTGTCAGTATCGATCAGTGTCAGTATCGATCAGTTTCAGTATCGATCAGTTCAGTATTGATCAGGTTCTGTATTGATCAAGTCCAGTATTGATCAGGTTCACTGTTGATCAGTTTCAGTACTGATCAGTTCAGTATTGATCAGGTCCAGTATTGATCAGGTTCAGTACTGATCAGGTCCAGAATAGATCAGGTTCTGTATTGATCAGGTCCAGTATTGATCAGGTTCACTGTTGATCAGTTTCAGTATTGATCAGTTTCAGTATTGATCAGGTCCCGTATTGATCAGGTTCAGTACTGATCAGTTGTATTGATCAGTTGTATTGATGACGATTTCCTGTAGATCTTTGACGTGGCCTGGGATCCGTTCCAGTCCAGCCGGTTGGTCAGCTGTGGAGTCAAACACATCAAGGTGAGACAGGAAGTCCATCAGTTTAACTTCCTGATGAGTGACTGTTTGTTTGTTTCACACAGTTTAAATGTGAAAATGTTGATAAGTGAGGGAATAACATGTTTGTGTTTCTTTAGTTCTGGACTCTCTGTGGGAACGCTCTGACGCCGAAGCGAGGGATCTTCGGGAAGACGGGCGACCTGCAGACCATCCTGTGTGTCTCTGCAGCCAAAGACGAGCTGACGTACTCCGGAGCTCTGAACGGAGACATCTACGTGTGGAGAGGCATCACTCTGATCAGGACCGTGCAGGCTGCACACGGGGTAATTCAAAATACAAGACCTAGCATTGGTTTATGAGGGGGCGGGGCTTCGAAGAGTCAGTTGGCATGCGTCAAATGACGCAACAGTATGTCACGTGGCTGGTGTGTGGCCGTACGTCCTGAGAATAAAGTCAAAGCTTTAAGAATAAAATCTGATAGTTCTTCCTGTAGGACTTCCTGTTTCCTGTTTCCTGTCAGTCACATGTTGACACTGTCAAGAGGTCATGTGATGTAATGAGTTTTTTAGAGGGAAATCTGCCGTGGAGTCACAGCAGGAGACAGGCAGAGGGCGCTGAGAGGAGAAGCAGGGCTGATGGGAAAATGTCTCATATTTAACACTTTGTGCAGGCGGGGATCTTCAGCATGCACGCCTGTGAGGAAGGCTTCGCCACCGGGGGACGAGACGGCTGCATCAGACTGTGGGACGTGGACTTCAAACCCATCACCAAGATCGACCTGAGAGAGGCCGAGCAGGGATACAAAGGTCAGACCCAGAAACCTGATCCAGATCAGCTCCAGACCTGCAGGGGGGGTCGGTCCTGTAATTGAACTGATGAGTAATTATCAGTTAATAATTAATAGGTCATGATTGTCCAGTATGATGTGGGATATCAGGTATTATGGGCCAAAGTCTTGATCTGGTTTTGGCAGGTTCTGAGGTTTTCATGGGGTTAGGTTTCAAAAACCTGGACCAGGACCAGGACCCCACTGGAGCCCATTCACTCCCAACAGCTGATGAACCTTTCCCATGTGTTTCCTGTACCTCACCTGACCTTCCTGAAACGCGTTAAACGTTTCCACGCTGACAGGTGGTCTGGTCTGAGTCCAGTCAGGTCTGCTTTCTGTTTCAGGTCTGTCGATCCGCAGCGTTTGCTGGAAGGCAGACCGGATCCTGGCGGGCACTCAGGACAGTGAGATCTTCGAGGTCATGGTCCGAGACCGGGACAAACCGGTTCTACTGATGCAGGGTCACAGCGAGGGCGAGCTCTGGGCTCTCGACCTGCATCCCAAACAGCCGGTCGCCGTCACAGGGAGTGATGATCGTTCTGTCAGGTCAGACTGAGCCACCAACGCCCCTGCCCCACCCCCACCAGGCTTCTGATTACCTGAGTTTATCTCTCACCTGTCTGTCTCTCAGGCTGTGGAGTCTTCCTGACCACACTCTGCTGGCTCGCTGTAACATGGAGGAATCGGTTCGCAGTGTTTCCTTCAACAACGACGGCTCTCAGCTCGCTCTGGGGATGAAGGACGGATCCTTCACAGTGCTGCGTGTCAGGTGACCTCACCTGTAAACTAGTTCATTCCATTTATTACTGTGATGTCACATCATAAAGTTTGTCGTTACTTCAAATTAAAAGATATTTTGCTGCTCTGTTTAGCCAGAAGTAAGCAGTTAGCTGTTGTAGCTAATCCAGGAGGCTAATGGTTGGACAGGTCACGTAAAACTGAAGTTTATTTTGAAAATCTTTGGACCAATACCTGGATTTCCCTTTAAGATGGCATTATGCAGACTTCTGTTAAAACTGAACCCAGAGTACATGATCACAACAAGCTTTCTTAAGATTAATTGATCCTTACTGAGAATCACCAGTTTGACATTTATAGATGTCTTCATTTCCTTTCTCTCTAGGGACATGACAGAGGTTGTACACATCAAGGACAGGAAGGAGGTCATCCATGAGCTAAAGTTTTCTCCAGATGGCTCCTTCCTGGCGGTGGGATCAAACGACGGCCTGGTGGATGTCTACGCTGTTGCCCAGCGCTACAAGAAGGTGGGCGAGTGTAGCCGCTCCACCTCCTTCATCACCCACCTGGATTGGTCGGTGGACAGCCGCTTCCTCCAGACCAATGATGGCGCTGGAGAGCGGCTCTTCTACAGGATGCCAGGTACCGACTTCATGGTCTGTGACTCTACATCACTGACACTTCATTCGTTTACTAATATATTTCTTAGGACGTGGCTTGGGACGTACCTGCCTTTACTTGGGACTAGTCTGTCGTGACATGGCACTGACTCCTCTCCTGAACACCAGTGACCTCCTGACCTTTTAACCTCCTCTTGTGTCCTCCAGCAGGGAAGCTGGTTCCTAAAGAGGAGGCGAAGGGGATCCACTGGATGACGTGGACTGGCGTCAGTGGGGCTGAGGTAAACGGCATCTGGCCCAAATACTCCAACATCACCAATGTCAACTCTGTGGATGCCAACTACAGCAGTGCCGTGCTGGTGACCGGAGACGACCTTGGCCTTGTTAAACTCTTCAGGTTCCCCTGCCTGAAGAAAGGTCAGTCTGACAAACAGTCGGTTCTACGTAGAGCTCTGTCCAACTGCAGGAACCTTTTCAGTAACTCAGGTACCTTACCTGTGTAGCCTGAATACCACAATTTGAAATTTGCTCTCGTTAAAGAATGGGGCACCAGTCCTCAGGGAGGACAATTTGATTAAAATTTAGGATTATTTTGATCAATCTCACATCCAAAGTTGTGATTTCTCGATTACAGGGATCTCCGATCTTCACTTCAAAGAAACACAGGGCAACGACTGGGTCACGTTGAAAATATTTATTGACTAACTAAACACAGGTGGAGTACAATGAACAATGATAATGAACATGAATCTATGACTAACAATACCTAGCAGCTGAACTAGCAGTGATTTGGGTGATGGTGAAAGAGAATGGATTTAGTTATGTGTATAGCATTTATTCTTAATGGTAGGAAATTATTAGGTCGGGACTTCCGACATCAACCCAGTTCGGAGCAAAGGATGGAGTTGCCTACTTTGAGTTACAGCACGCTCTTGAGATCCTGGCTGGAGCCCCGGAGTTAGGTTGCTAGGCGACGGGGACGCCACGCTCCAAGTGGGTTTCTCTCAGAGATGACGGCCATTGCCAGGGGTGACGGGCTCTGCCGATGTCTCGGTGGGTCAGCGTCGGCGCAGTCTGCCAGCAGACTGTCTTCCGTAGGCGCTCTCGAGATCTGGTCAGCCGGTCCTGGTGAGGCGTGTAGCCGGAGGGCCGGAGGTTGACGGCGGAATAAGCTCTAGTATTTAATTTAATTTGCCAGATAAGTTGGAAGGAGTTGGTGCTGGCCAAATGACACAAAACCTTCAAAATCTTCTAGACAAAAGTTGAATTTGTTGAAAAAGAAAACGACGAAGTTACTTATACACACCTGTGTGTGATTCAATTTGGAAGGCTTGGCTTGCTGAAGTAGTAAACACAAACATCACGCACAAAAGTGTAAGAAAATTGAGGACAAAGAACACGAGGTTGGTACCAAAGTAACAAAGTAAAGTTTAGACTAGAAACAAACGTGAGCTAGTGCGCGAATGAGCGACAAGGACGTAAGAGACGAGACGTAAGAGTGACAGTAAGATTAAGATTGTAAGAGTCTGCCCTGGAGGATCCTGCTGTTTTATCCTCGGGGTGGGTAGGGGGGGGGGGGGCTTCTTCCTTCTCTGTCTTTGTTTCAATAAAGAAAGAGAGAAATAAATCCTTAAGTTATTTTGTTTAATTTGGTTTTACGCGCAAGTGTTGCGTATTCTACTCCCACCATGGCCCATTCATTTTTACATCGGCCTATATAAACTACCTAGCTACGGTTTGGAATATACGAAATAAACTAATAACATCATGATGAATAATAGTACACATAGAATATATTGACTAACGAAAAGATAACAATTTGTAACCACACAAATATATAGCTAAAGCTACAACATGAAATAGTAACATCAAAGTGATGTATTAGGTTGTCTATCAGTTAATTCCCTAGAGGAAAAAGGGGTCCAGAGTGGTCCTTAGATGGCAGTATTGTAACGTGGTGGATATTTACCTTAGAACTGATAAAACATATCTCAGCCTCCTTTCGGGCTACAGAAATGAACTTTGGACCATACTTTATGGGAATCTTTCCAGAGTAATAATGCATGAATCACCTGGTGATGAGACATTCAGTTCAATGACATTTTAATCATGCTTTACAAATGTAGAATAATGGTTATCAGTCCAGCTTGGAATGTAGGAGGGTTTATGGCGGGAGCCTGTGGTTCCTCATGAGACCCTCCTTTGGGTATGAAAAGGTGTTAAAAGTGATAGTATTGTTTTCTCTTGTGAGAGAGAAATGAGTCAAGAGTGTGAATCCTGATGGTTTAGCACCTCAATGGGTCTGAATGTTACTTTTCATGTTGCTTGATAAGAGGTGGCGCCCACCTATCAGTCCCAGGTGAATCTCAGGGATGCAACATGAACTCAGTGTCAGTCTGTGGGGAGTGTCGTGTTTGTCTCCCATTTGTTGCAGGAGTGTTGATTCGGGGTGAGCTCCATGAACTAGCCGTGAATTCCGATGGTATCTTAAAAGCTAGTTTATTGGTGAGAGGAACTCATTTCGTCCCTGTGTTCTCTCCAGGTGATAGTTTGATGAGGGGAAAGTGGATATGGGATGCTCTCCATATACTCCAGAGCACCCCAGTGTCCTTACCATAAATCTTGTGTCCGGTCACTGGCGTCCACCAGTGTCCGCTACACCTGTGTGGAGGACCCAGAGGTCTGGATCCTTTCTGATGGAGCAGGTCCGTTAGGGGAAACCTTGATCTTTGAGATTCTTATTTACAACTTTATTTACTCACAAATGTTGAAAGCTGTACCTAACTACAATTAATGAAGAATTGTAATAGATTCAAAAGGCTCCTGGACTGCGACTGTACTCTGGATGTAGCATGTCTGTCATTTCAAGGTGCTCACATGAGTCATGGCTTGTCTCCAAGCTGTTGGATCAAACTGCTCTATGAACTCCTTCCTCTTCTTCTTCAAACAGGAGCCAAATTCAAAAAGTACATTGGCCACTCTGCCCACGTGACCAATGTCCGCTGGTCCAATGACCTGCAGTGGGTCGTCAGCACTGGTGGCGCCGACCACGCCGTCTTCCAGTGGAGGTTCCTGCCTGAAGGCGTCATGAATGGCGTCTTGGAGCCTCTTCTCCAAGGTAAGACCAAGATTCACCTGAAGAAGTTTTAGTCTTAACCACAGCTGAGTCCTCCTAACACCAGACTGACATTCATGAAATAGGCCTGGTTGTTGCCTCATGATAAATCACACGCGGCATCACCTTCAATTCACCGTCTGTAAAGACTAAACAAATCACCGTCCAGATCACATCGTTTGTTTTAATAAATTTTACCATTTATGACTTTAATCATGATTGTTAAAACTGCTACCTGTAAGTTCAACATCAAAATCAGGAAATCTTTTCTTTTAAATTACTTCTGTTTAACGTCAGTCATCGTGCTTCAACTCCATTTATTGTTCTTGCTCATCTCTAAATCCAACATTGCCATTTATTATCCTCAAACCTCTCTCTGCAAACCCTAAATTAACCCTTAATTAGATTTCCTACATTGCTATTTGTCATCCCTAAACTGTTGTTTTAATCCTAGATAACAATAAATACTCTTCAACACCATTTGTTATCCTCAGACATCTGTAAACCGTGAATCACCACCTGCACGTATTTGTCCCTGAAAAACCAACCACCCTCAGTAACATGCTGTTGATGACATTTCTCTGGTGTCCTCAGAGGGATACGCCGACTCCAACAGCGGAGAGTCAGACTCGGATGTGTCGGATGTTCCGGAGCTCGACTCGGACATCGAACAGGAAGCTCAGACCAGCTACGAACGTCAGGTCTCCAGAAAATAAAAGCTCATCACATGCTGTAAATAATGTATGAGGAACATGGCTGACTCACCTGTGTCTGTCTGCAGGTGTACAAGGAGGACTTGCCTCAGCTGAGGAAAAAGCTGACTGGTTCTCTGAAGCGGCAGAAAGCTCCGGAGGAGGGTCTTCGTCTGCAGTTTGTTCACGGGTAAAAACAAAAACTCTAAACTATCAGTGAAACTATCGACACAATGGCAAGGTTATCTCTGAGTTTTATTGTGGCGGTTCTGTTTCCTGTTTCCTGCAGGTATCGGGGCTTTGACTGTCGTAACAACCTGTTCTACAGTCAGGCGGGGGAGGTCGTTTACCATGTGGCCGCCGTCGCCATCATCTACAACCGGCTGCAACACAGTCAGAGGTTTTACCTCGGCCATGACGACGACATCCTCAGCCTCACTGTCCACCCGCTCAAAGACTACGTGGCCTCGGCACAGGTACGCCCGGCCAATCAGAGCGCAGCAGGTCACTGTCGGACTCACTGAGACTGTTTCTGATTGGCTGTCTGTGTGTTCAGGTGGGCAGAGACCCAGCCGTCCACATCTGGGATGTCCAGACCCTGAAGTGTCTGTCACTACTGAAGGGACACCACAGCAGAGGAGTGTGTGCCCTGGAGTTCACAGGTACACTAATCCCCACCTGTCCCTGCCCAATCACCACCTGTAAATCTTCACTTCATCATCAGTGAAGCTGTTTGTTATCGCTAATGCACCATTTTTAATCCAGATATTACCATTTGTTATCCCTGTGTCACTATTCATTATCCCAAATCCATCACCTGTAAACCATTTGGTGTTCCTAAGTCAGTGTGGACAGGTTGTGTTTGTGCAGGAGGAGGTCACTGTGTTGAATTGTTGTGTGAGTGATGAGCCTCTGATGTCTCCTGTCCTGAGTCTGTCTCCTGAGTCTGTCTGATGTCTCCTGTCTCTGACTCATGTATCTCTGTGTCTCTGTGTCTCAGCGGATGGGAAGAGTTTGGTTTCGGTGGGAATCGATGATTTTCACTCCATTGTTATCTGGGACTGGAAGAAAGGAGAGAGACTGGCCAAGGCCAGGTACACACACCTGAATACAACCTGACTAATGTACACACCTGATGCACAGGTGTGGTGGTGCGTATATGCAGGTATACAGTGCACATCTTGCAGACTACAGTCATGGCACAGTCTGTCATGTGCAGTAATCTGGGGTGTTTACTGTTCCCTGACTCTAGTCTTGAAGGCGGAGCCTCCCCACAGGAAACAGGTGGCCTGTTGAATCTGTAGCAAACCTGAGAGACAAGCTCAGGGAACAAATGACTCACTGTCTCCACAGGAAGTGAACAGGTTACGTTATAACAGCATGATACTGTAGCACCAGAGGAGAATGTTGATCTGTGCTACAGGAAGTGTTGAGATCCTGAATGTCACAGAACTGCACCGCCTGTCTCCATGGTGATGTTCAGAGCCACAACTACTCAGTGGTTATTACTAAGTTATCACATCAGGACTCAGTACTCATGGGTTGGCCCACTCCATGGTTGAACGCCTTCATTTTGATCGCAACTACACACCTGTAAAGTTTCGTGACTGTATCTTGCACAACTGTGATGTCATCAAGGTGACAGGCAGACAGACATGTGTTTCCAGGACTACACACACACACACACACACACACACACAGTAACACACTGATGGTTGGTAATAGGGTAACTCCAGACTGGTGATGGTGTGTGACTGATGCTCTCTGTCCTGCAGGGGTCACAAAGATAAGATCTTTGTGGTGAAGAGTAATCCTTTCAGGATGGACAAGCTGGTGACTGTAGGCATGAAACACATCAAGTTCTGGCAGCATTCAGGTAAACTTCACTTCACCCATGTTTCCTTCACCTGTGTCTTTTCCTCACATCTGAGTTCCTCCCACTGAAGATGTGAGGAGACAGGGATCCCTGTCTCCAGTCTTTATGCTAAGCTAAGCTAACAGTTTCCCCTCTGCTACCAGTCTTTATGCTAAGCTAAGCTAAACGTCCTGGATGTACCTTACTAAAGTTCCCTTAAAGACTGTCTTTCTGTCCCCGTCCTGCAGGTGGCGGTCTGACGTTTAAACGGGGGATATTTGGGAACCTGGGGAAACAGGAGACGATGATGTCGGCATGTTACGGTCGATCTGAGGACCTGGTTTTCTCTGGAGCCACAAACGGAGACGTTTACATCTGGAGAGACACAACGCTCATCAAGACCATCAAAGCCCACGACGGCCCCGTGTTCGCCATGTGCTCCCTGGACAAGGTTACATCATCCATCATTCATCATTAGTCCATCCATCATCCATTCATCCATCCATTCATCCATTCATCCATCCATTCATCCATCCATCATCCATCCATCCATCATCCATCCATCATCATCCATCCATCATTCATCCATCCATTCATCAATCCATCCATTCATCCATCCATTCATCATCCATCCATCATCATCCATCCATCATCCATCCATCCATCATCCATCATCATCCATTCATCATTCATCCATCCATCCATCCATTCATCCATCCATTCATCCATCCATCATCCATCCATCCATCATCCATCCATCATCATCCATCCATCATTCATCCATCCATTCATCAATCCATCCATTCATCCATCCATCCATTCATCATCCATCCATCATCCATCCATCATCCATCCATCATCCATCCATCCATCATCCATCATCATCCATTCATCATCATCATTCATCCATCCATCATCATCCATCCATCCATTCATCCATCCATTCATCCATCATCCATCCATCATCATCCATCCATCCATTTATCCATCCATCATCCATCCATCATCATCATCATCCATCCATCCATCCATCATCATCCATCCATCCTCCATCCATTCATCCATCCAATCATCATCCATCCATCCATTCATCCATCCAGTCATCATCATCATCCATCCATCCATCCTCATCCATTCATCCATCCATCATCCATCCATCCTCATCCATCATTCATCCATTCATCCCTCCATCATTCATCCATCCATCCATCCATCCATCCATCCATCCATCCATCCATCCATCCATCCATCCATCCATCCATCCATCCATCCATCCATCCATCCATCCATCCATCCATCCATCCATCCATCCATCCATCCATCCATCCATCCATCCATCCATCCATCCATCCATCCATCCATCCATCCATCCATCCATCCATCCATCCATCCATCCATCCATCCATCCATCCATCCATCCATCCATCCATCCATCCATCCATCCATCCATCCATCCATCCATCCATCCATCCATCCATCCATCCATCCATCCATCCATCCATCCATCCATCCATCCATCCATCCATCCATCCATCCATCCATCCATCCATCCATCCATCCATCCATCCATCCATCCATCCATCCATCCATCCATCCATCCATCCATCCATCCATCCATCCATCCATCCATCCATCCATCCATCCATCCATCCATCCATCCATCCATCCATCCATCCATCCATCCATCCATCCATCCATCCATCCATCCATCCATCCATCCATCCATCCATCCATCCATCCATCCATCCATCCATCCATCCATCCATCCATCCATCCATCCATCCATCCATCCATCCATCCATCCATCCATCCATCCATCCATCCATCCATCCATCCATCCATCCATCCATTCATCCATCCATCATCCATCCATCCATCCATCATCATCATCATCCATCATTCATCCATCCATCCATCCATCCATCCATTCATCCATCCATTCATCATCATCATCCATCCATCCATCATCATCCATTCATCCATCCATCATCATCCATCCACCATCATCATCATCATCCATTCATCCATTCATCCATCCATCATCCATCCATCATCCATTCATCCATCCATCCATCATCCATCCATCATCCATTCATCCGTCCATCATCATCCATCCATCCATCATCCATCCATCATCCATCATCAGTGCGGATGTTTTCTCTGATGTTTCCCGTGTTGCGTTCACTGTCCAGGGTTTTGTGACGGGGGGGAAGGATGGCATCGTGGAGCTCTGGGACGACATGTTTGAAAGATGTTTGAAGACGTACGCCATCAAGAGAGCTGCTCTGTCTCCGTCCTCTAAAGGTGTCACACTCCTGGTCTTTGTCTCCGATCTTGTCCTGGTTGTGGTTGTGGTTCTGGTTCTGTCTCTCTCTGGTGTTTCATTTAGTTTGTGATTTTGGACCAGGTCTCCTGCTGGAGGACAACCCGTCCATCAGAGCCATCACTCTGGGTCACGGTCACATCCTGCTGGGAACAAAGAACGGAGAAATCCTGGAGATCGACAAGAGTGGACCCATGACGCTGCTGGTCCAGGTGAGACCCACAGAGACTCACCTGTGTCTGCCGGTTTAAGACCACTTCATCTTCTTCCTCAGACCGTCTCTGCAGGAGCTGCCTGTTCACTGTGTTACCTGTGTATTGTGTTAAGGGTCACATGGAGGGAGAAGTGTGGGGTTTGGCGGCTCACCCTCTACTTCCTGTCTGTGCCACCGTCAGCGACGACAAGACTCTGAGGATCTGGGAGCTGTCGGCCAATCACCGCATGGTTGCCGTCCGCAAACTCAAGAAAGGTGAGACGAACGACCTGCAGGTGGTACACACCTGTGTGTTACCTGTGTGACCTGTGTGTGACCTGTGTGTGTTACCTGTCAGGTGGACGCTGCTGTGCCTTCTCTCCTGATGGTAAAGCTCTGGCGGTCGGTCTGAACGACGGCAGCTTCCTGGTGGTGAACGCCGACACTCTGGAAGACATGGTGACCTTCCACCACCGCAGGGAGCTCATCTCCGACATCCGCTTCTCCCAAGGTACTTGAACTCACCACACAAGTGTGTCTAAGGGTGAAGGTGATTGTTTGGTCAGTGATGACACGTGTTGCGTTTCAGATGCGGGGAAGTACCTGGCCGTGGCGTCCCATGATTCCTTTGTGGACATTTATAACGTCCTGACCAGTAAGAGAGTTGGCATCTGTAAAGGAGCCGGCAGCTACATCACTCACATCGACTGGGACTCCAGAGGTGAACACACCTGTACTGATGCTATGCTAACATGCTAACTGTTGGCCAGAACAGCTAGTAATGATTTACACATCACTAGCTGAGCGGCGGCAGGAGTGACCAGAGTTTTCATCAACATTTCCACCTGGCCAACACCTGATGCCTGAACTGACATTAGCATGCTAGCAGGATAAAAACAAACATTCTGAATGTTACAGACTAAATGTTCATGCTAACGTCCTCATAGTTATGATCCAGCAGTTTAGCTTTCATTACCGTCTCAGAGGAGTGAACATATACAACTACACAGTGGACTGAAGTTCATGAAGTCATGTCCACACCTGATATTCTCCTCCACAGGTAAACTGCTGCAGGTGAACACTGGAGCTAAAGAGCAGCTGTTCTTCGAGGCTCCGCGAGGACGTAAACAGAACATCAGTGTGGCCGAGGTTTGTTTTCTGTTTTTATCTTCTGCAGATCATCAGTTTCTGTTTGTCTGAGTGTTTGTGTCTGTTTCCAGTTCGAGAAGCTGGACTGGGCGAGCTGGACCTCGGTTCTGGGTCCCACCTGTGAGGGAATATGGCCGACGCTCAGCTTCGTAAATACCGCCTCACTCACCAAAGATCGCAAACTGCTCGCCACCGGAGACGACTTCGGCTTCCTCAAACTGTTCAGCTTCCCGTCCCGGGTGAGACTCAGAGAAACAGCCCAGCTGACACAAACCTTTAAAACCTCAATGTTCTCACTTTGTAAACTCTGACCTCAGGGCCAGTTCGCCAAGTTTAAGAAGTACGTGGGTCACAGCACCAACGTGACAAACGTCCGCTGGTCCAATGACGACTCCATGCTGCTGTCGGTGGGCGGGGCTGACACGGCGCTGATGATCTGGACCAGAGAACCGCCAGGACACAAAGAGAGTAAAGCCGTGGACAGCGAGGAGTCGGATGACGACACCGAGGAGGACGGAGGTAACGCAGTCTAAACAACACACAGGTCCAGGTTCTTCACTGTCAGATGTGACATCACCACATTGTTGTCATGGTGATGGACAGGTCTTGATGGTAGAATCCTTTCCACTAAAGGAACACAAACTCAGTCTGGTCCAGGTCCAGGTGTATGTGGTCCTTTGACATCAAGCAGCAGTTAAGCGATTCTGCACTGACCGGTCTGACTGAAGGGGGACCGGAGGACTTGGTCCAGGTTCAGAGGAAGCAGCGGGGTCACGGACTTGTTGTCGTGTTTCCAGGTTACGACAGCGACGTGGCCCGAGAGAAGGTGGTGGACTACGTGACCAAGATCTATTCAGCCAACATCAGGAACATGTCCGGAACCAAACCTCACCTGCAGCACAAAGAGCTTCCTGTGGAGGAGAGGTACCCCCTTCACATACTGACTGCCTGATGTGGACTCTGTGTGAGGAGGTTTGGATTATTAGACGAGTCACGTCAGGGACCGAGTTCACAGAAACACGACACTGGAGCTTTAACAGTGAGAGTAAAATAAATAACACCTCCAGTCATTTACAGCTTTTCATTTTTGTCTTTTATCAGTCGATAAAATAAATTCACTTTATGTTTGAGGTCTTCAATTTTTCAACTTTTAGCTCTTGGCACAAATTTTGTCGTTTATCTTTTAATCTTTTATGTGTTTTCACAACATTCCCCCAAAACACAGGAAAATGAAGTTTTAAAAATGTAGGTAAAAATAGTTTTTTGACTCGACTGATAATATTCAGCCTTTTTTTAGTTTTTCCTTCCAGTCATCTACAACAAACACACAGATACACAATCTCTCCTTCTGTTGCTGAACTTTGTCACTGAACTGTTTGGACCTGTTTGTCCCGGTCAGGCCTCCCGTGAGTCGAGCTGCTCCGCTGCCGGACAAGCTGCTGAGGAACAACGTGACCAAGAAGAAGAAGGTGGTGGAGGTCAGTACGAGCTCTGGTCAACATCAGTCCACTGACACCTGACACCTCTCTTCACACTGCTGTTGCTTTTTCAGGAGCTGGTCTTGGAGCATGTCTTCGGCTACAGAGGTTTCGACTGTCGCAACAACCTGCATTACCTCAACGACGGCGCCGACATCATCTTCCATACCGCCGCCGCCGTGGTGATGCAGAACCTGTCCGCTGGTCGGTACACCTCTCACTCTGAGCTTCTCTCTGTAACTGCTGTTGTTGTTGATGTTACACTTCTGCTTCCTGTCCTGACAGGAACTCAGAGCTTCTACCTGGAACACACTGACGACATCCTCTGTCTGACCGTCAATCAGCATCCAAAGTACCAAAACATCATCGCCACCGGACAGATTGGTGAGTCACGGGACAGGAAGTCAAATCAGCTGTAACAGACATGTTACATTGTGTTTCTGCTAATGTCTCATTATGATCTACAAGCATGGGCACACCAAATCCTGGAGCATCCACTGGGAGAAACACTGACGTCAGTCTGAAGGGTTGATATCTGAATTTCAAAATCACAATGTTCGTACAAAAACATACAAAGTGATGCGACGCAATACGATGCATTACGACTCGATTCCGTAGGATTTCATGTGATTCGATACATTTCAATACAATATGAAACAATACAAAACGATGCGATTAAAAACCACACGAAACAATTCAAAACAATACTATACAATAATTCGATATGAAATGATACAAAACAATATTAAGCGATTTAAAACGAGATGAAACGACATGAAACAATAAACAAAAAGATACAAAACCATCCGGTTCATTACAGTCCGGTTCGAAACGATAGAAAACAATTCAAAATGATACGAAATGATTCAAAACAAACAAATTCAATTCAAAATAATGAACGATACGATACGGATCAATAGGATTCAAAATGATACGATATACTTTATTGCTGCCCTAAGAAAGTTCTGTTTGGGTGGTGTCAGTGCAGCAATTGATGATTAACTTTAATCTTATCTTGACTTTAACACTTTTTGATGCTTTGATAAAGACACTTAATGCCCACAATGAATCATTAAACACGGCTCTGGGGCCCAGGAGCCCCTCACCCTTCGGACCCCAGAGACTCTGCCTGAAGTGGAATAAAGAAACAAAATGACCGCAAAGACAAAATAAATGGATGCCTTTGGCATCTTCATTAGCGACCTCCATTTGTTTACCTGTGCTGACCTGACTCTAGTCCTGAGCACAGACATGATCTGTAGCTGTCTAGTCACAGACTCAGTCTGAATATTGATTACCATGTTGTTCTCGTGCATGACCTGGCTGCTTTTTCCCATTGCACCTCTTTTCTTTTCCACTGCTTCCTCATTGTCACCGCCTCACCTCATCACCAGGTGACATCACTGACCTGCCAGGTAAGACTCTGCTCACCTTTCTGTAGTCACTCATCACTGATCCATTCACACACATGATTCTGTTCACGTGGAGAACACGGTGTTTAACCTGTTGGTGTCGTTGCTCTCGGTGTGTAGAGGCTGAAGTGTCCGGTGAGTATCAGCAGGCAGGTTCCTGTTCAGGTCTGAGTCTGTTTGTAGCTTGCCCCCCCGCCACTCCGAGACCATGTCTACACCGATGTGGACTCTGATGAAAACACTCCGTCCCTCCATTCACACTAAACCAGTGACAGTTCAACGTCACCATCCTCAAAAAGAACAAACTTCCTACTTCCTGCGAGCTCTTATTTTTTAGAGTTTTGCACCTACAAAAATCTTCTTACCAAGTGAGTTTTGTCGACCAGTTTAAATCATTTCACCGCACTAGTAATTTTGTCATTAATAGTTTGAAGAAAGAGAAAAAAATCCATGACAATGTGGAGACTGAAACAATAAAGGTAAATAACCACCAACATGTCTCTGCTGTGTTGACTGAGACACCTGAGACATCTGACATCTGACTCTGACTGACCATCGTGGCTGGATAGCAGCAGCACAGGGGGGTGGTCGCATGATAACAGGTGGAAGTTTCATACTTCACTAATCAAACTCTGTTAGCTGAGGAAGACCATGAGATATAGTTAAAGCTTAGGAAAAGTGGAACTTGTGTTTTATTCAAGTTTGCCAAACACCATTAAACAAAAAGACGAAAAAGAACATTCAACAAATTCAATTTATTTTTTGTGTCTGTTTGTACAAAAACAATCTGAACATTAGTGTGAATGGAAAACCTTGATAAAGTGTGTTTGAGTTTCTCCACATCAGTGTGAGCACGGCTGTAGACGAACTAAAGCACGTCGGACTAAGGACAGAGCCTTGCTTAGAGCCTCCGATCAGCATGTTAAGATAGCCGAGTTAGCCTGTGGTTTCTGTATGTGGTGTCTGTCTGTTTGTGGTAACACTGTGATTCAGAGGTTCTTATAGAGGCTAGAATTGGACCTGTCGTATCTGTGCTGATGAATCTTATCAGGGCATGAATGTCGGGCATGACGACTCTTTATCTGCAGTGCTCCTGTTGTATTAACCCTCTACAGTCATGATCACACAGGACAGTCCGTCTGCCTGTCCAACACTTTCGTCTGGAGACATCCGAAAAACTACCGGACAGATGATACTACTACTACTGTTGATCATGATCCCCAGAGGATGAATCCTAATGATGTTATTTACATTAAACAAAACCTGTTTACTAAATGCTCTACAGGGAACCAAAATAAATTGTTCAGTAGTCTAACTGAAGACGAGACAATGAGGAGGAAGTCTTCAAGGAGCCGTAATGGAAACGTTTCAGTCACATTCTGACTTTGATTGGGAACGTGGAAACAATCCCTGGTGGAAGCATTTTTAAATACAGTAGGGTCTAATATGGAGCCTCAAGAGAGGAGCAGGGGAGACAGTCATAACGGACACTGATCTGACTGTTCACACTATTGGTGTCATGTGATATCCCTTTTGTTCAGATGTTTTCAATAGTTTAGTGTCACCAGTTCCAGATCGCTTTGTTTTGGACTCGATTCACTTGTATTGACTTTCGGCGTCAGAAGAAGGAAGTCGTGTGTTGTCATGATCATGTAGGTGTTAATACTGTTGGCTGTAAATGTGGTTTAGAAAAGAAGCTGTTTTTATTTTCCCAACTCTGAATCTAAATTACAGTCACTTACCAGTTCTGCTCTGTTGAATCAGCATGTCGGTACCAGTCCCCTCCTCGCCTGGACAACATGGAAGTTCTGCATGATACTTAGATGAAGTCTGATCGACTGCTCCCCTACCTGCCTACCTCCTGAATCTTAGCTCGTTCACCCGATACTCAGCATCTACACTCCTTGGTTCCTTTGGTTCCATTTCACCTTTAGTTCAGTGGTTCTTTTGTTCCTCACTCCATTGGTTCCTTCATTCCTTGGTGTTTTCCTTCATTCTTTCCTTGGTGTTTGGTTCCTTAGTTCTCTGGTTTATTAACTCTGTGATTCCATGATTCAGTTGTTCCTTTTTTCTGCTGTTCCTCTGTTCTTGGTTTCTTGACTCCCTTACTACCTTAGGTCCTTGATTCCTTAGATTCCCCAGGTTCTTGTCTGCTCAGTTCCTTGGTTATCTGGCCCATTGGTTCCTCAAAGCCTTGGATCCACAGTTCCTGGCAACCTCTGTTTGTTTGCTCCTGGAAACTCTTGGGTTTTGGGTTCTTTGTTCCTACTGTTCCATAAATCCTTAATTGCACAGTTGCAAGGATGTTAAGGACCTCAGATGTTCAACATCTTTGTTCCTCTGGGTCTTAGTTCCTTGGTTCCTGGGCTACATTAGGACATTACAGTTCCTAGTATCCTTAGGTCCTTTGGTTCCTTGATACCACACTGCCTGAGATCCCTGGTGTTGAAACAATCTACTGTGGAACAATGACTTTAATGACTAAGGTCCATGGTTCCACAGTTCCTGGGATGTTATGGTCCTTGCCTTCTCAACACCTTAGTTCCTGGGTCCTATGGTTCCTTGATTCTTGGGAACCTTTGGTTTTTGCTGCTGTGATCCTTAACTTCCTTGGTCCTATGGTTCCTTGGTTCCCCTTCCTACCTGAAGCCCACAGGTCCTTTGGTCCAGAGTTCCTTGGGTCCATAGGTCCTGAGCTACCTGCTGCCTTTGTTCCTTGGTTCTTCAGCTGTTTGGTTTCTATGACTCTGGTCTCCTCTCATAGGCCTTGCCCCATCCATCCATGTGTGGGACGCCATGACAAAGCAGACGCTGTCCATCCTCCGCTGTTCCCATGCGAAAGGCGTCGGCTATGTCAACTTCAGTGCTACAGGGAAGTTGCTGCTGTCCGTAGGAGTGGAACCCGAACACACCATCACAGTGTGGAGGTGGCAGGAAGGTACAGATGGTTTCTGTCAAATTAAGAAATATAGATGATGTAATGACAGTTTCACTTTGTTTGGGTCGTCCGCCCACAGAGAATTTCCAGAGTATTTATAAGATCTCACTAAACTTTGTAGAACATAGCTCAGGATCACAACATTCAGGAGAACAAGATCAAGAAATGAAAGGTTAAACAAACAGAATTTTCTTTCACTTCAGCTGCATGAAGGTCAGAGAGTATCAGGGGAACAAGAATCGTGGAGAAAAGATTTCAGTCCTATCCCCTAAGGGACTGACACGTTTATCAATATACAGTCTGCACAAACTCAAGAAAAGCATACAGAACATTACCATGAATAGACCACAGAGGGGTATCCATGCTCACCTCTGACCTCTCTGCCAGGCACCAAGGTGACCAGTAAAGGCGGCCATGCTGAGCGGATCTTTGTGGTGGAGTTCAGACCAGACTCTGACACCCAGTTTGTGTCAGTGGGAATCAAACACATCAAATTCTGGACTCTGGTTGGAGGTTCGCTCATGTACAAGAAAGGTGTGATCGGCTCGGTGGAGGACGGCCGCATGCAGACCATGCTGTCCGTGGCCTTCGGTGCTGTAAGATAAACTCTGATTTCAAAACTCTAATTCTGACTCACCTCAGAATAAAATACATAAATCTCCAGTTTTTCAGACTTTGCAGTAATTTTGTCTTTATCTCGTCCAGAACAACCTGACATTCACTGGTGCTATAAACGGAGATGTGTATGTGTGGAGGGAGCACTTCCTGGTGCGAGTGGTGGCGAAGGCGCACAGCGGCCCGGTTTTCACCATGTACACCACCCTGAGGGACGGACTCATCGTCACAGGGGGGAAGGAGCGACCGTGAGTACCACAAATTAACATGCTTCATCCTGATTTAAACGAGCCGTGACTTCACGTCTCGTTAAGTGTTGATGAACAGTAGAGAAATGATCCATAGGACAGAAGTGCATGAAATCTGAATCATAACAAGGAGATGGCGTGTTCCTCAGGACTAAAGAAGGAGGAGCTGTGAAGCTCTGGGACCAGGAGATGAAGCGCTGCCGAGCGTTTCAGCTGGAGACCGGTCAGCTGGTGGAGAACGTCCGATCAGTCTGCAGGGGGAAGGTTTGAGACACATCACATCGTAAAACCACACTCTTCTATCAGACAGTGTTTACTGAAAACTGTAGACACCCTCATCATGTCCACTTGTTCCACTCCGCTCGTTCTGATGGGCTGAAATCAAAACACACAAAACAACAAGCAGTTTGTTTTCATGACATCTTGTTTGGTGAATGACATTACACAGTGACGTTTTATCACCAGTTCCAACAGACTTCAGGAACCTCTTAAAATACAGCGTCTGAAAACTAAATCAGTTCTTACATTGAAGGTCATGTGATCTTGTGTGATCCTGGTTCTGTCTCTGTAACGTCTCTGTCGTTCCTGGTAACACAGGGTAAAATCCTGGTGGGAACCAAAGATGGAGAGATCATAGAAGTTGGAGAAAAGAATGCTGCCTCCAACACCATGATCAACGGACACACTCAGGGAGGGATCTGGGGTTTGGCGACTCACCCTTTCAAAGACGTCTTCATCTCCGCCAGCGATGATGGGACGATCCGGATCTGGGACCTGGCTGATAAAGTGAGGAGACTCAGGACTGATCGGCCTTTGAGGGTTTTAGATCTAGGTTGATTCTTGTACCCTCATGTGGAACAACGTGTTAACCATCTGCTCTTGTTCTCCGTGTTAGAAACTCCTGAACAAGGTGAGTCTGGGTCATCCTGCCAAGTGCACCTGCTACAGCCCCAATGGAGAGATGGTTTCCATCGGCATGGAGAACGGAGAGTTCATTGTCCTGCTGGTCAACTCCCTGACCGTGTGGGGCAAGAAGAGAGACCGCAGCGTTGCCATCCAGGACATCAGGTACGACATCAGCCTGTGACAGGTGTCGGGACTTATGGTGGGACATCAGGCTTTAACATGTCTTAGTCAACTCAATGTGTTTTTGTTGTTTTCTTGTGGTTCAGGTTCAGTCCAGACAACCGGTTCTTGGCGGTGGGTTCTGTTGAAAGTGCTGTCGATTTTTATGACCTCTCTCTTGGACCGTCCCTCAATCGGATCGGTTACTGTAAGGACATCCCCGGCTTTGTGATCCAGATCGACTTCTCTGCTGACAGCAAACACATCCAGGTTCAAACACTTCCATTCACTCCTAATGAATGTTGAAGTCCTTGGTCAGTTTGGTGCTGTGACCTCTGACCTTTGTGCTGTTGACGCAGTAGCTGATACGGATTGGCTGAAACATAAATCTCCTTCATTTCTATCCAAGGTGTCCACCAGCACCTACACTCGGCAGGTACATGAAGTTCCTACTGGGAAGATCTTAACAGAGCAGCCCGTCATAGAGAGGATCACCTGGGCGACCTGGACCAGGTAAGGCCGGTAACAAATGCAGAATGGTCCAGAGGCTGTGACTTAGAGAAGATATCAGAGAACATCACAAACTGTCTGTACCTATCGACTTTAGAGCCAGTTGAACTAAATGGAGAACCGAGGAAACTTTAGAGCTGAGGGAATTAAAGGAGCTATATGTAAGTTTTGCTATTGCTACATAGCTAACGTTAGCATCAACAGCTGTTTACTCATCTATCTGTCAAGAGGTTCAGTCATCATTGTATTTACACAACAAGAGTTTATAAAACGTCCTCTGAGAAGCTACATCTTCAGGACAGACTGGACGCTGCAGTGACAAGACAGTCCAACCAGGCTGGAGCTAGCAGGTTAGCATGCTAACTTCAGTAGAATAGGGGAGTGATAGAAATAGAAGCAAAACAAGAGAGCTGGTGGTGAGTAAATAAATGAAGTTTAATGCTGAACGTTTCTTCTAGACTGGTGAGTAAACAGCTGCACACTAGGTAGGAACCTCATCTAAAGGAACCATCTGTAGAACCAAGGAAACTAACTGAGCTCAGGGCACCACCTACAGTCAGGGAATACGTCGTAGATCTTAAGAACACACTTGGAGAACATGTTTTAGATCCATAGAAACAGGATGACTCAGATACTGACCACCGTGTGTTCTCCAGCATCCTGGGTGACGAGGTTCTCGGGGTTTGGCCTCGTAACGCTGAGAAGGCTGACGTTAACTGCGCCTGTGTCTCGCACGCCGGCGTCAACCTGGTGACGGGAGATGACTTCGGCCTCATCAAGCTCTTTGATTTCCCTTGCTCCGAGAAATTTGTAAGTGAACTTCACAGCCGGAGGTTTGAGTCTGGATGTGTCCGTCCACCAGGTGCCCTCTCACCTGTCTGTATCTGCTGCTCCTTTACAGGCAAAACACAAGCGTTACTTCGGCCACTCAGCTCATGTGACCAACATCCGCTTCTCCTGTGATGATAAGTATGTCATCAGCGCCGGAGGCAGCGACTGCAGGTGAGATACGAAGAGAGAACAGAGACTCTGGGTCTGGTTCTGGTTCAGATTCAGTTCTTCGCCACATTAAAACTTGTTACTTCCTGTTTTCTTGTCTCCAGTTTATTTGTGTGGAAATGTCAGTGAGTCCACCTGAGTCCTCCACCGGAGTCTCTTCTTCTCCTCCCGTGATGCTGCACTCACCTGACGCTTCACCTGAGACCTCACTGGACAGGAAGTGAACGTTTGAGCGGAGTGAACTGACTTGGTTCAGAGGTCGCTGCTGTGGTCTTCTTGTACATTCAGATGCTTTTATTGTGAAAGTGTTGAGGTTTCTGTGTTAGTGGTCTGACTCTGAGGATCTGTAGCTGTGTGATGTAGCAGTGTTTCTGTTTGTCAGTATGTGCCTTTCTCACAAACTCTGACCAAACCTTTGATACAACTTGATTTATAATCGTGGTGCTATCAGACTTTTACAGCTCGGACCATATGATACTGTCACTGTTTGTTTTTGTATCTCGTACTGTCTGATGATGAGGATGATGAGGAGGATGATGCAGTGAGTATTAAAGTAGAGAACAATAGAGAAAGATGGATCTCTGTTTGATCCCAGTTATTAAAAACAAAGATGTGAAAACAGAAAATATTTAAAAACAGAAAAATAATTCTACCTCAAAACAAAATAAAGTGAAACTAAATAATATTAAATAATATTTAAGGTAGAAAATAGATATTTAATAGAAATAAGTTTTAATCAAAGTGGACGACTTTTATATTCTGTTCACATGGTGGCGCTGTGTCTCTGTGTTCGTCTTCTATAGAAATAAAACATGAGGAAACTGAAAGCTGCGTCTTCATGTCTGGATTTAAAGGGAAATTACAACCAAAATGTTTTGAAGTATTTACCCTGAGACCTGTTCTGTGATTCATATTAATATTCATTTATGTTGTTCAGAGTCAGTAAATGTAAATCAGTGTTTTGTCTTTTAGGATTCATCAACTTCAGTTTGTTCTGGTCTCTGACGGGGTCTCATGACTTTTAAAGAGTCAAATTAAAAAGTAACGCACCACAGGTGTGATAAACTACAGGTGACAGTTCTTCATTAAAGACTGAAGTAAAACTCTGATCCCTGATTGGCTGGAAAAGGCTCCTCCACAGAGCACCTGAGGAACTTCACCTTTCATGTGGTTTGAAGTGTAGTTCAGTCCTGAGTGAGGCTGGTGCACTGGCTCCCAACCAGTGGGCCGACAAATCATTTACAGAACAGAACAATTTTGGTGAAAAAATGTAATGATAAAAATGTTTTTAAATGTTTTAAAATAAAATCATCTTTAAAAACATTAAAAGTGTTTAAAAACTCCATCACTGTTTTTTCTCTTGTACTAAGGCCGATCACAGTGAGAAAATAAGATATTCCTTTATTAGTCCCACAGTGGGGAAATATTACAGCAGCAAAGGGACAGTACAAAAGAAAGGAAAACTGCAAAGTGACAATATCAAATACTTAAAAAAGATAAATAATATAACAATATAATATGAACCGATTAGATATGTAAATATAGGCTAACAAATAAGACTTCATATACTTGTTTTAATTTGTCTTAAAGATCACATCCATGGTAAAGACTGGAGAAGAGCTGGTTAGAAACAGGAAGACTTAAACGTAGATGGTGAATCTACAGGTGATTTCAACTGACGAACAAGAAAGAAAAACTGATCCTCACTTTGGTCCTGAATGTCCTTTATCGTGTCCTTTATCGTGTCCTTTTGTCCTTTATATTAAGAAAAAATTATATTAATATTTTTTAATATTTTTTATATGAAATTGGAGTGGAAAGTAACTAAGTAAAAATAAAGTCCATAGACAAACACTGGCCGCTGGATCGTGCGTCAACGTCGCCGCCATATTGGTCTGGGCAGACCAGGACAAGTGAACGGAGGTTCTCCCGGTCAAAAGCTCTGTAACGTTTATATTTCACAACCGATATTATATTTTAGGTTTTTGTGATTTATATGAAGTACAAATAAAGGTTTTGTCTCCAGTTACGTAGAATCCTGATAGTTTAGGCTGTAATCACTTTTCGATAAGGTGAGTATCAACGTCATATTTACATGAAGTAAATCACTGACGTGTGTCCTCGTCATGTTTCAGTCTTCCGGTTTCTGTTCCACACTGAAAACAGACCGACCACCGCCAGAGCCAAAGCAGAAGAAGTTCCGCCCCGCGCCACCAGGAGGCGGCAGCGGCTTCTCCCGGTGTGTTCGCGGGCTGTCATGGCGGCTCCCAGTGTCAGATTGGTCTCACGGTGAAGTGTTTATATGAGGATGAGCTGAGAGAAGAAACACAGAAACACACATCTGACAGGTGAGATAACAGTCGGAACCAGGACTACAGTCCACCTGGACCCGCGTCACTGTCTGCTGCCAGGTTGATCCGTCATGAACCGGACTCCAGGTCAGAACACCTGAACAAACTGGACCTGAGGTTGCTCTGGAAGATTCGGCCTCGATAGAATCCACTAACAACTTTAATCCTTCAGTCTGTCTTGGTCAGAACCGGATCCGAACTTTAATAACCAGTGTTAAAATGGCGCCTGGTGTTGGTGCCTGACACCAGGTCACAGACTGAGACTGAACACACTGGAGTCATTATTCATATTATGTTATTTTATATTATATTACATTGTTATATTATATTATATTATATTATGTAATGTTATATTGTTATATTATGTAATATTATATTATATTGTAATATTATATTGTAATATTATATTGTCTTATGTTATATTATATAATATTATATTCTTTTGTGGGTTTGATGTTTTAAAGGGAGTTTCTCAGTGTTGTTAAATATCAGACCTTGGTCCGTCCTTGAACGCACCAGCAGACCCGGTCCCTGCAGTCCTGGACAGTCCTGGACAGTCCTGATGTGGGACCTGGTTTAGATTGTCTGTCCCCAGTGATGTCAGAGTTCTACTGCGAAATAAATTCTGGTCCTGTCTGTCTCTCCACTCACCTGTCTCTCTGCAGAAATGAATGTGATGTCATCAGTGATGCGGGTGGCTCGGCGGCTTGTCCATGCCGACCCGGTTCTGCTCAGCAGCTACCTGTCTCCGCCCCTCCTCTGTCCTGCCCGGAGCTCCGCCCGCCCGCTCACCTGTCAGCAGAACAGGAAGTATGCTTCCAAACAGGTGAGTCTGACTGTCTGTTGACAGCCAACAGAAAACACCCGTCTGCGTCCAGCTGGTCTCTGATGTCATTACATGTCTGCAGGTCAAAGGTCAGGCGAAAGGCCAGAAGGTCAAACCCAAAGTGGAGAAACAGGAAGTGGAGATCACACAGAGGATGACAGTGGCGGCTCTCGCCGAGGCCATGAAGAAAGACTACGGTAAGAACCAGCAGAGACCCAAAGAGTCTAAAACCCGGTCCAGGACCTGAGTCTGACAGGACCAGACAGACATCCTGATCCGGCTGTGCGAACTGGATCAATAAAGTTGTTTTGTATTTCAGATCACGTGTTGGAGGCTCTGCTCAACACCTCGGTGGATCCAGATTACCTGGATCCGGACTCGGTTCTGGAGGAGAGGTGGATTAAGGAGGTAGTGACTCGATCAGGGATGAAGTTCAAATGGGCCAAACTGAGCGAGAGCAAACAGAGAATCAACAGGGACGCCCACCCCAGGTAACAGGGACAGGAAGTCACCTGACTTGCTGCTCAGTTACAAACCAGCCAATCAGAACATGTTCCTACTTTTTGTTGTTTGACTTGAGAAAAGTTCACTCTGACCTCTGACCCTCAGACCTCCAGCAGACCCGTCCAGCCTGGTGCCCCGCCCTCCGGTGGTCACCATCATGGGTCATGTGGACCACGGTAAGACCACCCTGCTGGACAGCCTGAGGAAGAGCCAGATCGTCTCCACTGAGGCCGGAGGGATCACACAGCACATCGGAGCCTTTCTGGGTAAACTCTCACCTGCAGACACTCACCTGGTGACACGTTCACCTGCAGACACTCGCCTGGTGACACGCTCACCTGCTGTTTGATGACGAGGAAAGAGAGAAAGAGAAGATCAAACACTAAAGATGAAATTATTTGTTGACAACGAATTAATGAAAAAAAAATTCAGTCAAGAAAACAGCAAAGTAGAATCAGTGAGTTTATTATCAAATAATCAGTTGATCATTTTCTTGATTCATGGTGAAACTGAAGATTTTAATAATTAAAGAATGATGCTGTTTAATATTCAGTGTTTTCAGTGAGTGTCTCAGTGGAAGGAACTGTGTCACTGGGTCGTCATGACGGTGCTCCATGTCCACACCTGAGCTCCAGGAGGAATGACTGATCATCACGTGGTTGTTGTTGAATGTTGACGATAAAAACACAAACTGGTCTGACGTGGGTTTTTACTTCCAGTCCAGTTGCCTACAGGTGAGAAAATCACCTTCCTGGACACTCCAGGTCACGCCGCCTTCTCCGCCATGAGAGCCCGCGGAGCCAACGCCACCGACATCGTTGTCCTGGTGGTGGCGGCCGACGACGGCGTCATGAACCAGACAGTCGAGTCCATCCAGCACGCCAGGAGAGCCAAAGGTAGGAGGTCCACCTGTCAGTCACAGCCCAGGGCTGGAAAGGATGAAAACATGAATGTTTCTACTGTGTTTCTGTTGTGTGTTTCTACTCTGTTTCTAATTTGTTTCTGTTGTGTGTTTCTAATTTGTTTCTGTTGTGTGTTTCTACTGTGTTTCTTTTGTGTGTTTTTACTGTTGTTTCTATGGTTTCTGTTGCGTGTTTCTAATGTTTCTAATCTGTTTCTACTGTGTTTCTGTTGTTTCTATTGTGTTTTTACTGTTGTTTCTACGGTTTCTGTTGTGTGTTTCTAATCTGTGACTGTTCTGTTTCTAATCTGTTTCTACTGTGTTTCTACTGTGTTTCAGTCCCGATAATTGTGGCAGTGAATAAGTGCGATAAGCCTCAGGCTGACCCTCAGAGAGTCAAACGGGAGCTGCTTGCTCATAATGTCATTTGTGAGGAGTTTGGAGGAGACGTCCAGACAATCCACGTCTCTGCTCTGAAGGTCACGACTGTTAATGAGTGTCTACGAGTTCTCCTCCTCACCCAGGATCAGTACCACATTATAAAGTGAAGTGATGATGTCGTTTTGTTGTCAGGGCGACAACCTGCTGGCTCTGGCCGAGGCCACGGTGGCACTGGCGGAGGTTCTGGAGCTGAAGGCGGAGCCGAGCGGCTTCACGGAGGGAATCATCATCGAGAGTCGAACCGACAAAGGCAAAGGGTGAGACCAGATCTCTGTGAAGTCATCACTTCCTGTCTCTGTGAGGTCATCAGGAGTCTCAGAGAACCAGACTAACTAATTATTATAATGTAAATAATATGATAATTAAATATTATAATATTTTTCACTGAATCTTTTTAAATCAGTCTTTAATGTCAAATTCACAACATTAACAAACATGCGTGACGACCTGCTCTCCATGTGACTGAGCGTCATGTCTCCTCAGTCCTGTGACCACGGCCATCGTCCAGCGGGGGATGCTGAGGCGAGGCTGTATCTTGGTGGCGGGAAAGAGTTGGGCCAAAGTTCGTCTCCTGTTCGACGAGAACGGGCGGGCGGTGAATGAGGCGGGGCCGAGCTCCGCGGTGGAGGTGGTCGGCTGGAAGGAGCTGCCGTCTGCTGGAGAGGTCATCCTGGAGGTGGAGTCTGAGGTGAGAACAAACCACACCCCCTGACCTCTGACCTCAGAACTGTTCTGTTAAAGTACAAACTCACCTGTCAGCTTCTGTCTCACCTGAGCTCCCAGACTGAGGGAGACATGGATCTTTACAGAAACCTGCCGCAACTAAAGAAAAGAAAACAACAAACAAAACAATATGAAATGATAATTTAAAATAATAACAACAATAATAATGAATAAGATATACAATAAATTAATGAAAATCTAAAATTATCAGGTCAGGTTACAGGAAACACAAGTGACAGTGTCTCAGCTCCACCCACGCTCCTCCTCTTTGACCATATTTGGATCAGCTGGGAGTTAGGGGGCGGAGTCAGACACTACCAAGATGGTGACGGTGGAGCAGCTCACTCTGAGCTTCAGAAACCTGTGGGTGACGTCACAGAGGCGACGGCCATCTTTACTTACTTACGTCTGTGTGAATAAGTAACATTATGATGTCACAGTGACCTTTGACCTTTAACCACCAAATTCCAATCAGAAGAAGTTCCCCGGAGAACGAACTGATTAGAGATAATTAAAAATAAATAATCAATAAGAAGCTGAATGATCAACGCTTTGATATTTTGATATTTTATTTCTTTTGTTATTAATGTTTACATAAATATGATATTATATTAATGTTTATACATATATGTATAAAGACCCATGACCTCTCCTCCCCTCTGTGGTGGGGTCGTATCCTGTGTCACACATGCCTGTATTTGTATACACTGTATATACATACACAGTATTTACACTGTATATAATGTATATGTATATATATATACTGTGTATGTATATACTGTATAGAAATTACTGTGGTGCTGTCGGTGCTCCTGCAGCAGCGGGCGAGGGAGGTGGTGGAGTGGAGGAGCTCGGAGGAGGAGCAGCAGAAGCTGCAGGAGGAGCAGAGCGCCATCGAGGTCAAACAGAAGGTTCACCTGGAGGAGTACAGGAGGGAGAGGGCGGAGCTCTCTCACCTGAGCTGGAGGCAGAGGAAGGCCGCTCTGTACCAAGCCAACAAGACCAAGTTCTCCATGAGGCCGAGCGAGAGGACGCAGGACAACCAGCTGAGACTGCCGCTCATCATCAAAGGTAGGCTCCCATAGGCCGCTCCCTCGTGGCATCACTTCCTGCCAACTGACATTTGACCTTTGACCTGCAGGTGACGTGGACGGCTCGGTGGAGGCCATGTTGAACGTCCTGGACAGTTACGACGCTCAGCAGCAGTGCGAGCTGGAGGTCGTTCATTTCGGCATCGGAGACATTTCAGAGAATGATGTCAACATGGCCGAAACGTTCGCAGGTACAACCGCCGGTCAGAGGTCAGAGGTCAACGACCCGACACAGATTTGATCAGGTTTCTGTTGTTTTCACCTGAAGCTGAACAGTTGAACTTTCACCTGAGAATCAAAATCAGTTTGATTCAGTTAATGATAAAAATATGTTTCAGTGACAGTTGTTATTTAATGTTAATTATAATAAAGTCATATAATAAGTTCATCACCATGGTAACGTCTCAGCACAAGCCTCTTCTTTAATAGAAAATGAATTTATTTTTAAAGCTATCTTTATTAATATCAAAGATCCGAGTGTTAATTATTAAATATGAGATCATTTCCTCTAATCAGTCAGACATGTGTTATTGATCCGTCACAGCAGAACACACAGAACCCGTATCTGTTGTTTCAATAGAACCGTGTTTCTTTAAACCTGTTTCAGTTGTTAAATGTACGAACGCGAGCAGGAACCTTTTCAAAATAAAAAGCTTTAGAAGTTTTGACATTTTTGGTTAAAATTAATTGATCAATTAAAATAGTTAATTAATTATCTGTGGAACAACAAACTGATAATCGACAGTTTGAGCTGAGTCCAGCTCAGTCTGATCCTGGTTCTGACCCTCCAGGTTCCATCTACGGCTTCAATGTCGGCGCCAGCAGGGTTGTGCAGCAGCTGGCGGCGAAGCGTGGTGTCCCGCTCAGACTCCACTCCGTCATCTACAAACTGATCGACCAGCTGAAGGACGAGCTGAGCGGCAAACTGCCGCCGCTCGAGTCCGAGAACGTCATCGGTGAGTAAAACGACGCCCCCGTGACTCACCGAAGAACAGAGGTCATCACAGACACATGAAGAACACGACTCGTACCTGACAGGAAGTCTGTCTCACCTGTTACTCCCTCCCCCCTTTCCTCCCGGTCCAGGTGAGGCGACGGTCCTTGCCATGTTCGAAGTCTCTGTTGGGAAGAAGAAGGTTCCTGTGGCCGGATGTCGGGTCCAGAAAGGTTTGCTGGACCGCCGACTCCAGTTCAGACTGATGAGAGGACAAGACATTGTCTGGGAGGGTGAGTGAGACCAGGACCAGGACCTGGACAGTCTAGGTCTTAGATTTAATAGTTTCAGCAGCAGGACTCACGTTTGAAATGTTCCAACTGATCAGATTCAGTTTGAACTTCATGAAACTATTTTTTAACTTTTAATCAGTGTGATATCATCATCATCATCATCATCATCATCACTGAATGAACAGTCAGATTGAATTATAACTCAGAACTAATGAACATCAGTTAAAACTGGATCATCAGACTGAAACACATGATGCAGCTGAAGTGGAGCTACTGTGACGTTCTAATGTTCTCCTGCTGTTCCTCTAATGTTCCTGTGACGTTCTCTGCAGGTTCTCTGTTGGCGTTGAAGCATCACAAGGACGATGTTCAAACAGTGAAGACGGGGATGGACTGCGGTCTGTCGGTTGAAGATGGCGTGGACTTCAGGCCAGGTGATGTCATCGTCTGTTTCGAGAACCTGGACTCTCCGCAGGTCACTTCCTGGAACCCCGGCTTCTAACGGCGCCTTCCCATCATTCCCTGCTGCTCAGACTGAACTCTGGTGATAAACTGTCGCATCATGTTTCTGAGTCACGTAAACAATTATTAATGACAGACTGTAAACATTGTTGACGGTGTGCAGTCACCTGTACACACCTGTACATCAGTGCAGGTAAAGAAAACAACTTCAGTTTAGTTTCAGAGACATTTTAATAAAAGCTTCTGGTTTAAAAACGTTAAACAGGAAGTTGATCAAATAAAACTGGTGGAACAGAACTAAAGGGCTGGTCTCTGATTGGACGGATCCACAAAGAAGCATCTGATTGGTTGTTACAGTCTGTAATATTAACCCTAACCCTGCCACCAAAACGTCTCAACTCAAGGACCACTTATTAGCTTTTTCCAGAGCTTTCAACGCCATCTTGCAGTCTTCCTCAGCATAGTGACTTCAGTTCAGGACAAAGGCAGTAAGTGGACTTAACTCAATGACCACTTACTGGCTATTTCCAGCTTTCAGAGCTTTCAGTCTGACTTTCTGTCCAATGAGAAACCACGATAATGCTGAAAAGCCACATTTTGTGAATCGTGGTCTGGGTCAGAAACACCAGACTGGTCCTTTAATGTCACTTTGAGGGGCGTGTCTTTTCTCCTGGAGACTCCAGCTCTGACCTTTTCACTTCTTCCTGGTCTTGCCTGGTTTTGCGAGCAGGTCCGGGTTGATCTGATCTGGTGTTAGTCCTCTGACGGAGAAGAGACGGGCGGCGCGCTCCGACAGCGTCCCCCCACACTTTAACCCACGAGACATCAGTTCCTCCTTCAGGACATCCAGACCCAGAGACTCCAGCTGCTGGACTGATGTCACCGAGGACAGGTCCACCGGAGCCTGGTCCGCCACAGACTGGTCAGCCGGAGCCTGGTCTGCTGGAGCCTGCTGCAAGCAGTAACAGATGAGATTCAACACTTTGTTCATCACGTTCAGTTTTTATATCCTCACTTTAGCAGAGCTGTGACCAGGAGGGCGATGCTGGAGAGGAAAACAAGCTCATCTCATCACAGGAAACTACAGCAACAGAGAGAGGACAAACTACTGACCTGCTGCTGAGACCCACAGCTGGACTCTGAGGCTTTGGAAGGTTCTGGAGGTCTCTGGTCCTCTGAGGGTCTGACAGTCTGATGAGCCGAGGACGAGCTGGAAGAGAAGATGTCCAGACGTTATTTAAATAAACTGAGTTTGGACTCTGGATCTGGACTGAACCAGGATCTGAGGTAACTTCAGGTAACCCTGGGTTTCAGTCCTTCAGTCACGTTACCAGGTAAATCACCATGGTAACTGAACTTCTAACCTGTTGAATTTCACTTGATCTCAAATTAAAACTTTATTTTTTATAATGAAAACTCTTCCTCTGTCACATGAAGAGCTGGTACCTGGACAGGTAAACCCAGAGTCACCTGAACCAGGTTCAGTTAAACCAGGTCACAGGAAGTGATCCTGGTTTGTTGAACCTGCTTCCTGGTTCAGGCCTCTGGTCTGAGGAGGACCTGATCCCTACCTGCTGCTCTGCTCAGGCCCTGTCTTCTCTCTCAGCGTTGCCATGGTAACAGCTCTACAGCTAGAGGAGGATGTGGACGGAGACTCCTCGTCGTCATCATCATCATCGTCGTTGTCGTCCTCCTCTGAGCTCAGCACTTCGTCCAGCTCTCCCACCCCCGTCCTGTAACCATGACGACAGATTTAAAAACATTGTGTCTCATCCTCTGCTGCTGTGAATGAGTCGATGTGATCAGCTGATGTTTCCTCGTCTGTTTGTTTTGATCAATCAGCTGATGTGACTCTTGTTGATTTCATGTTTACAACGAGTGAAACGACTCACCAGAAACAAGCTGCTGACGCCCCTGCCGTCTTCTTCTTCTTCTTCTTCTTCTTCTCTGGTTCTACGCTCTGGTCTGAGTTTGGTCTCTTTGCTGCTGAGATGTCGTCCACCTTCACCTGGCTGCTGGAGGACGCCTGGAGACCTGAGACACAGGTGAGGTGAGGTCAACACAGAGTCCTGACAGAGGAAGTCTGGACCTGGACACTGAAACCTTTAAGACCTTTACTTCTGCAGCGTTTGGAGCAAAGCGCCGACTCCTTCAGAGACCAAGCGGAGACGTCTCAGGTTCATACGTGTTTCTGATCTGACTTACTGCTGAACACACCTGTGGACCCTCTACCCCCCCCCCCCCCGCGCCCCCCCACCACCACCACCACCCACCACCACCACACACACACACACACCACACACACCTTTGAGCACTGGATGTCCTCCAGTCTCTCCGACAGGTTCGTGACACTGCTGCTGATATTCTGGATCGGTGAACCATGGTGTTTGGTTCGGCCAGTTTCCTCTGCAGACGCTCCAGACGACGCTGCTCCTTCTCTGCCTCCCGCTCCGCCTGCTTCTTCAGCCACTCCGCCATCCTGCAGCCACACAGAAGAAGAAGTTGTGTGTAATTCACAGGTGTCTGTGGATTTCTAAGCTGAATCAATCTATGACCCAAGAAACTGAACATCATCTGACTGAAGGTCAGGGGTGAATCACAGATAACATATAATATAAGAGGAGTAAAGTTCCTGTAGAGGAGATCTGATCTGACATTTGGTCTGAACCGGGGTCAGGTGGTTACTGCTCTGATGATTCTGTCACTCACTCTTTCTCGTGGTTTCAGTCCTGCAGACGCCGTCCGCTCGATCTCTGCAGGCTTCACGGTTTGTCGTCTTCTCGATCTGAGCACCGAGAGCTCGCAGCATGGAGCCAAACCCTGAAGTGAACAACACACCACACACACTTACACTTGAGTGTTTTGTTTCATTGGCTTCAGATTGTGAAAACAGATGGATTAGTGTATTTCCTGAACACACCTCCTTCCCTCCACAGAGGCGGGGCTCCAGGTGATAGACGGCTCCATGCTGCAGAGGATCCTCCAGATCTGACAGTCGACCGTTTCTGCGACGTAGAAATCCTCAGATGAAACTCCCTGCAGAAACAAACACCGAGGTTCAAACACATTTTACTGCTAATTCGACACACTCCAAACAAAGATAGTTAAAAACAGTTCCCGGGAAGAGTTTGGCTAGTTTTAGTCTGTCGCTATGTCAACAAGGTGCTTGTTAAAAGACAAGAGCTGTAAATTAACATTACAGATCCATTAATGACGTCCAGACAATAACTGTATTTACTGCTGCTGGTTTTCATGTTTAAGAGTCTGCTGTAAAGTCTGCATTGAACGGGAGCTGTCACTTAATAAAGTATTATGTTAATTACCAGTATTATGCTAACTACAGTATTTTGCTAACTAAGTGTTACCCTCACTACAGTATTTCCCTCTGAAGTGCAGTAGAAAGTAACAAGTATCGTGAGAGTACAAGTGCTTTAGTAAAGTTTCCACTTCTGAAAGAGTCAATAAAAGAGACCAGCTTAAACTCCGTCAGCTTTCTGGCGAGGGTTTCGCTGCAGTTCCTGTTGTTGACCAGACGTGGCGAGTTTATCGAACAAGTTTAACCGTTCAGTGTCGGTGTTTGTTAGCTAACGTTAGCACGGCGGCTAACAGCGACACTCACACCGGATTCGAACGTTTCCTCGCGGATTCTTTCAGTTTTCCCGCCTCGCTCTTGTGTGTCTTCTTACCTGTAGCTGATGAACCGGGTCAGAACACTCTCTGACCACAGAACCGTCCGGAAACACCAAGTTATACTCAGCCTCGGAGCGTTCACACACACCTCCATTTTAGATTCTCAAGGTATGGGAAGGCAGTGCGCACGCGCAGCTCTTATTCCACCTTCCGCTGGGAGGTGACGTCACACCTCTTATCATAGACCAACAGAAATGATTATACAGCAGCTCCCACTTAGGGGTTGTTGGCAACTACATTATTGGCACGGGGGGCCATCTGAAATGAGTCACGGGACTTTACGCTGTTTGTTCCTTTAGGTTTTATTGGACTAACAACAGCTACGCGGCAGTATGTCCAGCTGAGAGCCGCAGGTGGCGCGCTGACCGTTTTTCCTCTACCGGAAGTTGAAAGGGCTTCCTGCTCGCGTGACTGAGGTACAACATGGCGGCCTTGTGGACGGTCGTGTCTCGAACCAGGTGTGGACTCTGGTTCACCTCCTGTAGGTTCATCAGAAGCTCCTTCAGCTCAGACTCCATCGGTGCCTCTGGCGGTGACCAGTCCCCTCGGACAGACCCAGATCCGGCTTCGCTGCTGCCTTCGACCTGCAGTCGGAGCTCCGGCGGGAGGCGGCGAGCGACGAGGGCGGCCCGGGGGGCTCCTCCTCCAGCCAGGACGAAAGCTTCGCCTCTTCCCTCCGCCGGTCCCCGTAAATCCAGATGGACCGTCCCAGGACAAAGTGGTTGTCGGAGGATCTTCCACGTGGTCAAGGACGACCTGTACATCGCCTTCGGCGGGAAGTTCCACTGTGTGTGCCGGCGGCCCAAGGACGGAGGGGAGAAGCTGCAGCGGGAAGTAGAGTCCGTCTGCGGCTACAGGACTTGGAGCTCACAGCCCGCTTCTGGGGGCCAAACCGACACCACCCTGCTGGAGGCCCAGGCCGTCCTGCTGGGCCCGGTGGAGGGACGGTCCTGAGCGACAGACCGTCAGACACCGCTAAAGAAAAACCAGACGTTTTTTAAAGGAGTCTGGCAGCAGCCAGGTCTGAGACTGGAGGAACCAGAACATCTGTGTGTGTGTTGTTTATGATGAACTGTGGAGGCGGGAGAACTGAGCGGATGTTTCCATCCGGACTGACTCTCAGGAACTGTGAGGTTTTGAGTCTGGACTCTGGACGGAGGGTCTGATGTGAGGAACAGCTGTTATAGATATTATAGATATTAAAATAATACATATTCTGTAAAAACTTTGTTTTTTTCATGACAGCGTCACTTTGAACAACAAGTTCATTTCTGCCTGGAAACAATAAAATGTTCGTGTGGACGTCACATGATGGAAATAAAAGTCAGTGGGAATAAATGAAAATAATTAAACAAATATTTTTAAAGTTTCAGTCATATTTTATCCATGTGATCAATTATTTAGATATTGATTTAATTTTGGAAGTCTTTGTGGCCTCCCTATCCTGTGGTCAAACAAACTAATATTAATCTTATTAATTAAAATAATAAGATGATGTTATTCTAAACTTTTGATGCATTTATGACCAAAAGTTTCCTCTGAGCTTTACTCTTAATATCACCGGACTTGGCAGAAACAGTGTGAACAGGTGTGTGGGTCACATGATGTTGGTGTTTTGAGTTCAGTGTAAATCAGACACAGAGACAAAATCTTTATCTGTTTTCTTTATTAAGTTAAAACATGAAGCTGCTACATGTTTGTTTAACCAAGCTGAACCTGAACGCCTCCATCACCCTGCCTACACCTCATGAGGCCTTCACTGTCCTTTAGAGAAAGTTAACCCAGAACTCTGACTCACAGGCGGACGTCCTCTCCCTGCAGGTGGAGGTGAGACAATCAGGATCCAGCAGTGGAGATGTGATAGAGGTTCAGTCTCATTAAGTAAATAAATGCAGAGGACATAATGTCTGAGTTTTAGCATAGAGACAGTGAGTAAATACAGCAGCAGAGTTTACAGTGGTTTAGGCTTCAGTACTGTGATGCTGTAGTACTGTAGTAGTAATGTAGTACTGTGAATATGTAGTACTGTAGTATTGTATTGCTTCACTGCAGTAACCACACTGTGCCTGAGCTCAGTGTGTGGAGGATCACTGCTGCCAGAACCCAACAGAACCCAGGAACCAACAGAACCAGGAACCAACAGAACCAGGAATCAACAGAACACAGGAAACAACAGAACACAGGAACCAACAGAACACAGGAACAACAGGAACCAGGAACCAACAGGACACAGGAACCAACAGAACACAGGAACCAACAGAAATCACAG